CACAAGATGGCAACACTGAAACAAATCTAAAATGGAACAAAAATACCAGTAAACTACAGCGATTGTGTGAGGAGATCAAACCACATCATATCTGCAACTTCAAAAAATTTCTTAACAGTACAAAGACCTTTTATATTGCTCATAATAACTTTGGGAGAGAAAAAGTGCAGATATTGGACAAGGATAAATCTTTCCAGATATATTGACAAATACTTTGAATTAAATTGTGTGCAGATGCTAACATGCATTGAAAAAAAAGTGTACTTTGGGCTTTCAAAGTAGACAAATTATTATTTTGCGTAGTTGACTATTTTAAAAGTAAAATTTTGGTTACCATCTATGTATAAGTGTGTTTTTATTTTGCTATTAATGTATTTTTTTATTTGCTTAGTGTCTTAATTGGTCACCAACCATATACGTTTTGTGATTTTTAATAACTTTTTTGTGCTATTTGTTATCCCAGCAGACGCACAACTTCATAAGGCTATTATTATAAAAATATTAGGTCGCCAGCGTCTAAGGACAACGATGTGAAATATTTTGTTGATTTTAGGTTTTGTTGGAAAGTGACCAAAATCCAACGTCGAGTCAACATGTTAAACCAACGTCATATTGACGTCAATTACTGACATTTACTGACATTTAGGTATGGCAATCAAAATCCAACATCTGATAGACATCGTTTTGGTAACGTTCACACAGTGTCAAGCTGCAACATCATTAAACATTGATATTTTGTTGTTATTAGGTTTCGTTGGAATGTAACCAAAATGCAACGTCTATCCAACATTGGACATTGACGTCGGCCTGATGTTGAGTTCTGACGTCAACCCGATTTTAATTATTAATTAAAATGTGACGTCCCATGACGTTAGGGTACAACATCAATCTGAAGTCAGGTTGACGTCCTGTGCCTGCTGGGATGTTTATGTGGTGTGTTGCTTGATGTTTTATTAAGAAATTAATTTAATGATTTCATTCATAATGCATTTTACTTTATTTCAATAGTGTTATTTATTTATTTATAATTAAAAATATTCAGTTATATACTTGAGAATCAAAAGGTGAAGCTCTAAATATAATCTCATCCGCTTAAGCACTGTTTGACCATACAGAGATATGTATTTTCTGCAGCATCGTGTGCACACAATCCTGACGGCGGATCTAGTGATCGTGATGAAGAGAGGAAGCATCATGGAGTATGAAAAACCCGAGATCCTCATGGAGCAGGAGGACGGCCTGTTTGCATCTTTTGTCAAAGCCGACATGTAAAAATCCCCACTTTACACCACTTTTGGCCTTAACAGATCAATAAAAGCCATTTTTACCAGTGCGCTGCCATTGGAAAGGACTCAACTACACACAGACTGTGAACTGTTATCCTTTTATATGAATCTGATTTACAGTATTTTAAGCGTTTTGTTAGCATACGGCTCTTTTTGTAAGGTAATGACGCGTGTATTTAGAAACGCATAAGCAATAAGCATTTATCTACTGTGTTTTTGACTAGTATCAACACTGTTGGGAGCGAGGCATGATGCTCTCGTCCATCTGTCTGTCTGAAGTGCATTGCTGATCCAGATTTAGGGAAAGAATGGTGGCTGTGAATACACCAGAGTGACCCTAATGTGTTATTCACACCCTATATATATACACACACACCCACAACCGATTGTATTTTAGACTTTGTACTGTTGTCTTCTTATGCAAAACTGCTTAACCAAAAGCCACTTTTCTGTTGTTTGTTTGCTTCCTTTGGGAGAGTTTAAGTTCAGTTCATTTCCATCTTAAATGTTTAAATGGGTGAATTTCACAAAAAAAATGTCAAATTTTTTTTTCTGACAACAGAATTTATTTTGTTTTTTTTAATTTTGAGGTGAAACAATCCGAGTGATTTGTTTGTTTGTTTGTTTGTGTCTGTAATAGTCTATTTAAAATGCTTGCTCTGTATTTAAAACTTTAAAATTGTGAACTTCAAAAAACATTTATAATTAGTATGTTTTTTACTTTTATATAAAAAATTATCATTACAATATTTCAATTCTATTATTATATTAAATAAAAAATAATAATAATACAATTATAATAAAAAAATGAAATCAAATTAAATTCCAGTTACATTTAAACCTAAATTGAAGTTTGCGATTTAGTAACATTATGCTTTTACTTTGTAAAATGGATTGTTATTATTGTTGTTATTATTATTACATTTTGAAGTGAAATATGACAAATAAATTTGAGGTGTCTGGTATATTTTTTGTAATATACCACTTTATTCCATTCAACTAAATATGAACAAATTAATTTAGATGCAAATTAATTTAATTAGTCTGTTCAGAAATTTTCTATTAAAACCTGAAACATATGCAAAATAGTACAGACACACACACACACACACACACACACACACACACACACACATATATATATATATATATATATATATATATATATATATATATATATATATATATATATATATATATATATATATATACACACATAATTATGCAATTTACTAAATTAAAAATGATCATAATTTAAGTGGCTTTATGCTTTTACTTAATTCAATATAAAAAAGAATAATACAACAATTAAAAGTGAAATGTGATTTGGACAGTGTTGGTTCAAAAAAAACAAGCAAATAAATAATTACTTATTAGAAAAATATATGGTATTTAATTTAGTTTAATTCTAAAATACATTGAAAAATAGCTCAATTTATAGGAATAACTTAATGCTATGTATTAGTATTTTTATAAATACTGAAGTCAAATAAAGATTTGGCCGCCTTTTTTTCTGTGACTGCTCAAGAAGTTTTTAACTGTTAAAATGAATTAAATAAAATTTTTGTAGCCAAAATTATGATATGATTTGGACATGAGATTCACCCAAACCAGAACCACCATGAAAGTTTTACTTAGTAGTTTTATGCATTTATTCTTAATCATGTGATTTGTCAGTCTTTATTATTATTATTATTATTTTAAGATATTCGAAAGAGTCTGCAGTCTCTCTAGTCTACAGGCTAAGCTAAATTAATTTTCATTTATTTTCCTCATCCTCCATAGCAGTGCCAGTCTCCTCACATCACTTTTGCATTTATCCATCTTTTCTTCATCTGATCGCTCAGTTTTTTTGGAAACCACGGCCAAAGATGATCTAAATAAATGTTTCTTTATCGCTTCGGTAAAATGACGCACTTCTGGTTTTTCTGACGCTCGGCCCAGGTTTTTATGAGAATGTTTGTTAATATTCGCGGTGGCCAGCGATATTCCAGTAACTCGCGAGTCTGCGCATGTGCGTCAAACACACTTCACTTCACACACACACCGGTGGTGTGGACACAGTCACATCAAAACCACGGCTGTTCGCATGTTTGTCACGATGGACCGTTTGAAAATGTATATATGTAATTATAAATATGTCATTTGTATCATAAGCATGTAACATCATTATATTGTGTGCCTAACTTTTTTACACATGAATTTAAAATAAAAAAAATCGCTTTTTGTGTATTTAATTAACTCTGCGAAGTGCATTTGCATTGCATATGTTTTAAAGCAACGTTTAAACAGTAAACTAGTTATTAAACTTCACAAATGTTAATATTATGTACATTAATTGTGACAGAAAACAGGCTACTTTGCTATACAGCGCCACCTTCTGTTCATATGTGTGCCTTTGTTCAAATTGAGAAATCCATTTATGCAATATTATTGTTACTATTATATTAGCTTATATTATGCTACTATTTGAGAAACACATTGTGTTATAAAAATAAAAATAATTCCTTTAAAATGTACTGAAGCGCAGAGACTATTAAAGTTGTCAGGTTATTTTTAGATGCCTGAAAAGGAGGTGAAACTTTTTAAATTGAAAATGACAATAAATATCATTCCAAACGCAGAATATAAGAGAATAATGCACAGAAAAAGAACAAATCAGCTAGAGAGCAGTGATGGAAACAAGATAAACGGATGAATTTTATGAATGCTTATTAAAATATTATTGTTAGCCTAAAATACAATTTAAAAAAAGATATGTGTATGTGTAGTAGGCTAGTAGTAGTATTAATAACAACATACACAGACATACACATAACTTGATGAAGTTTAAAAGGTTTATTTTTGCTTTTGCTATTAAAATATTATTATTTATAATCATTATTATTATTTTGTTATTATTGTTATCATTTTCAACAAACAATTGTTTAAACAAAGGAAAACTTTAGTTGAATTAAATCTGTGTCGAATAGTATAGTTTAAATATATAGTTTTTAAAAAATATATTATTATTCTGTAGGCTAAATAATAAATTTGATTGGTTGAGGTAATTTATTTAATTTAATCATATATACCTAATATGGGCAAGAATAAATTAGCCTATAAGATCTCCATAGCGCGCTCCTGTGGTCCTCATAGGTCTCCACCCTTATAATATCGTGTTATGAAAGATTCACCGACAATTCTCGCGTTAAACTAGTTTTTTTTTCTCTCCAGAAAGTAAATGTAAAAATTCATCAATTCAATAGTCGCAATAATTTTGCAACTCGTTTGTTCGGATAGCATGCGTTTGTTTCTTTTAAGTGCACTGGCTAATCTTTCTTTTACTTTCTATTTACATAAAGAAATTCATTGCTTTTAATCTGTAACATTGGCGAATATAACCCGTTTAAAATGCTGAAGTAGTTTCAAGCGCTCTTCTGTCCGATGTGAGTGTCAGTCGGAGGCTGTAGGACAGGGATGTACCGCCCATGAGTCCAGTAGAGCAGCCCGATCTCCATCAGAAACACACATTCAGAAGCGCTTCAAACACTCACTTCTGCTCTTTTCCAGCCTTTATTCTAGAAACTGGCCCAAGAACACGGATTAAACTATTTATTGTGATCAAATCACTTTTTTTCTTATAGTTTATGCTACTTCGCCAAGTTAAACCGTGGATGCGGGATGGTTATTAAGCGCGTTTGACACGCTCAGGAGAAGTTTTTGTTGTAAATCATGTTGCCGCGGAAGAGCATCATCCCGGAGGAGTTCGCGCTGCCGGCGCTGGTGTCCCGGGTGCCGCGTAAACCAGTGTTCAGAGACCGCGTGAATAAAGCGCGCTTCATCGCCAAGAGCGGCGCGTGTAACTTGGCGCACAAGAACATCCGTGAGCAGGGCCGGTTCCTGCAGGACGTCTTCACCACTCTGGTGGATCTGAAGTGGCGCTTCACGCTGGTCATCTTCACCATGACATTTCTGTGCAGCTGGCTGCTGTTCGCCATGAGCTGGTGGCTGGTGGCCTTCGGGCACGGAGATCTGGACACCGACCGTAAACCTGCCGTGGAGCAGTGCGTCACCAATGTCAAGTGAGTGCCGTTGACTTGATTGCATGTGCAGATGTCCAAAACATGTCTATCCTCCTGTTTTGTATCTGTAGCCTATAAAACTGTTGCAAACTGATGACATATTTCATTTTATAACCTAGCCTATTTTTAAGGTATTTTATCTTCTTTTTTTTTTTAAGAAAATATACGTTTTAGGAAAATGTTTTTGTCAATACGTGGAAATATATATTTTTTATATTCAAAATAATAATTATTAAAATTATTCATTTATGGTGAATGTAATAAAAATCCAATTTAAGCAGTTTTAAAAATTATTCATAACATTGTTAAATACTTATATTAAAGGGGGAAATTACCGTCATAAATTAAGTTTAACTTTGGCATTTTATAATCATAAATGTATAACAAATATTATATCACAATATTGATAGGCCTTTTATAAATGTCATGTAATGATAATTAAATTTGTAGCAAATAAAAATTAGATTACTAAAAGTTAAAAACACTACAATATTATTGCGTTGGAGCTTTAATAAACTTTATAATGCAAAAACAACATTACACGCATATTAATATACTGTTCTGTGTCAGTTAAATCAGTTGACTGTTGAAATTTTTATCCCAACTAGTTGAGTAATTAAACAAATACCCCAATAAAGGTTAAAAATAACCAAACAAAGCACCAGATATTTAACCCAATGGTTCAGTTATTAAATAAATAACCCAATAAAGGTTAAAAATAACCCAACAAAGCACCAGATATTTTAAACTCAACCAATGGATTGAATAAATAATAGAACGTTATTTAGAGATTGTATATTATAATACTATCTAATATATATATATATATATGATCTTATAATATAATTATGAAGCCATTATATTAAATGTAGATTTTATACAAAAATAATTCAACTAAAATTGCTAAATAAAATCCAAATTAACAAAACCAAATAAAAAAAAGACAAATCTAAATGTATAATAAAGTAATAACAGTAATTAAGGCAATTGTGTATTTTTTTTTACATATGGGCCATATAATTTAGGTCAAATTATTAGGTTGTTTTATTCCATGTGGATGTTATTTCTGCCGCCTAAAACTGATGTTTTTTTTTCCTTCCAGCTCTTTCACCTCTGCCTTCCTGTTCTCCATCGAGGTGCAGGTGACTATAGGTTTCGGAGGGCGTATGATAACAGAGCGGTGTCCCATCGCCATCGCCTTTCTCATATTGCAGAACATCATTGGCTTGATAATAAATGCCGTCATGCTTGGCTGCATCTTTATGAAGACCGCTCAATCCCACCGGCGTGCCGAAACCCTTATCTTTAGCCGACACGCAGTCATCGCTGTGCGCAACAACCGCCTCTGCTTTATGATCCGAGTGGGCGACCTGCGCAAAAGCATGATCATCAATGCAGTTGTGCGCCTCCAAGTGGTCCGGAAGACCATGACCCCAGAGGGCGAGGTCATCCCCATCCAGCAGATCGATGTCCAGACTGAGAGTGCAGTGGCTGGTAACAGCATCTTTCTTCTGGCACCCTTGATCATATGTCATGTCATTGATAAAGACAGTCCTCTGTACGATCTGTCGGCGATGGAGCTGCAGTGCAGTGATCTGGAGGTCATCGTGATCCTGGAAGGAGTGGTGGAGACCACAGGCATCACCACTCAGGCTCGCACCTCCTACGTGACCGAGGAGATCCAGTGGGGACACAGATTCGTGCCTATAGTGACAGAGGAAGAGGGTGTCTACTCAGTGGACTACTCCAAGTTCGGGAATACAGTCAAAGTGGCCACCCCTCGCTGCAGCGCTCGTGAGCTGGACGAGAAACCCTCCATCCTGATCCAGACGCTGCAGAAGAGCGAGCTTTCACACCAGAACTCTCTGCGCAAGAGGAACTCTATGCGCAGGAACAACTCCATGCGCAAGGGCAACTCCATGCGGCGCAATAATTCAGCTCTCGCTGTGCCCAAAGTGCAGTTCCTCACCCCTGAGGGCGGAGCCAATCTAGCGGTCACATGACAAACCGCCTGTAAAGCACTTATCACCTGTCTGTCTTTAAAGCCCGGCTCACACTGTGCAATTTTGGCCATGATTTGGCCTCCTGAGACAAATTTCGGAAATCCTAAAAGATTCCTATAATACTAGACTAAAATCTGTGGTCATTGGTTAAAGATGTCTAACAACAACCAATTAATGGCCAGTGAGATCAAATTTTCCCTCTGGTGAAATTCTGTCTGAATCTTTAGGCACTTTCCTGAACCTAGAACCAATAGGAACACTTATCCCGATGATCCAATTAGCGCGACAACTACAAACCACCTTGGAGAATTATTGAAAGGTTTTTCTGGGTTTTATTATCAAGCCATGTTATGAGTATAATTAATGTTACAGAGATTGTTAAAGCTTGCTGTGAGGTATTATTTCAAAATGTGGATTACCGAATGCGTTATAGATGACGTCAAACTCCAGAGATGAGTTTTGTGTGTGTCTGTGTTACACACATCTTGATTGTCAATCAGTCGGACGTTATGGCAACTAAGATCTTACAGTGTGACATGAGGATCATGCTTGTACAGACAATCTGCAATCATTTAGCATTATTTAAAAATAATAATAATAATCGCACAGTGTGAGCCGGCCTTAAATCATTGTTAAGCTCTTTTCTATGTACGTTTTGGTTTCATGATTGCAAATGGTGCAAAGCAAGGCATTGTTTGGTACCTTGACCCCATTTACACCTGGTACAAGTTCCATTTTTGTCAACTCATGTAGTACAGGTATCTAAAATGTTAAGACCACTTCAAGAGGTAGACAAAAAGTTGATCAGATTGCTTTCATAGAGCACTTCAGCCCTGATTTATTGTTTCTGAACCTGGTAGATTTTCTCCTACAGCATATGTGAACATATAAATCATGCTCGGATCAGCGCCAAACTATCAATCTGAGATTGCCTGAAGAGGACACAGCCTGCTTGAAAAGTGGTCCAGATAACCACGACCCCAGATGGAGAGGTCTTCCCATCTACCAGATCAACGTCTTGTCTTCCTGTTGGCACCCTTGAACATGATCACGTCATTAATGACAGACACTCTGAATAATCAGCCATGGAGCTGCAGTGGAATGACCTGAAGGTCATAGTGATTCTGGAAGGAATGGTGGAGACCACAAGCATGACGAGAAGATCCAGTGTGGCCACAGATTCATGCCCCAATGTGACCAAAGACGAGATGTCCTCGCTGCAGTCTGTAACCATGATAATATACTGGACCAGGTACGATACGCTTACTTCACGCGGCCGCCATTTTAAAGAACAAAAGCTAGGCTGCGGTGGGAAGAAACCCGGAAGTATTGACCTTATTCTAAAATGCGGAAGTTTGCCTGTCTTCGCGATTGTCTTAGAACTTCCGATTCAGTCGCCTATGGGAAAAATGACTAGGAATAATAAACGGCAGAAAACGGTCAAACTACTTGCTTTACAAACAAATGTTTGCATGACTATACAGACCAAGTAGAATAATATAACAAGAAAATATCAAATTGCAACATCAAGCAGCGTAACGAGCAGTTTTTAATGTCTAAAAATGAATGGAAGTGAATGAGACCGGAAGTCTCGAGCCAAAAAGATTCAAATGGCAGCGCCCACTCGTCGGCGGAGAATAAGGTCAATAGGACCAGCACTGCAAACATTGCAGTAACATGCTGTGGACTACAAACCTCCGACTGTTGCCGAGATTTCAAAATGCAGAAATTGTGTAAGCATCACTTTAATATCATTAAGTTTAATTTAAACAATTAAAAGCAATTTAGCATCAAACAACATCACAACCTCTGTTAGAGTAATACGCCTAAGTGTCCTCCTATAGGCTTTAGTTCATGGCACCAGGTTAACACCGTTGGGACACTTTCCTACTTCAGCCTTTATAACCCGGTAAGCGATAAAACACTGCAGTCCTCTGTAGCACGCCCTCGTCTTGTCTGTAATAGTGTTGTCCCGGTGCTGAAGTTTTAAAACCGTCTATTTCCCGCAAACATTAAAGCCCCGCTGAGCGCGGATGACTCGACTTATCTTCACGGCTGCTTCGCACTTCAGTCTCCGTGTGTCTGTGTTTGCACTCAGTTTACCACTCTTCACCCAGTGCAAACACAGATACATGGAGACTGAAGCATGAAGCAGCCGTGAAGATCAGTCGAATCATCAAGCAGATCACTCGTCTGTGTTTGTGCTCCGTAAACAGCGGAGGGTGAACTGATAACTTTCTCGGCCAATCACAAGCATTTCTGTTGAGCATGTGAACACAATAGGAAATCAGCGCTGTTTTAAAAAAGCCATCAACAGTACATAAATGTGACGGCTTTTCTTTTAATTCAGTATTGTGACAAGTCTAATATAGTGAAAGAATCAGTTCATTAACTCGAGTTTGGTAAACGGCATCTAAAACGTGCATTTGGGAAAGAAAACGTTAGCTAACTAATGCCATTTCTCTTTACTTAGCTGAAAATGAGGTTTGATATCCCTTCTTATTTTCACCAGTCATTCAGAACGGACCTTCGGGTCACTTAGAAGGTGATGAATTCATAAATTTGTGTCACTTTCTCTTTGCTGATAAGATATGCAGCCAGGTACACAACGTTCCTATGTAACTCCTAACAATACTTCCGGGTTTCTTCCCACCGCAGCCTCGATTTCGCTTTTAAAAATGGTGGCTGCATGAAATCAGTCTATACCTTGTGGACATTGTACCACCCACTAAGGTAATGCCCATGCTACTGTGACGGTTGGGTTTAGTGTAGGGGAAGTATAGGTGATTGTGCATTAGTTAGTGGACCTGATCCAGTACGTCATCAAGTTGCGGGCTGCAGCGAGGACTGTCTTAAAGAAGAGGGCGTTTACTAGGTGGACTACTCCTGGTCAAAATTGCCCCTCACTGTCATGATCCTTTCTATGTTCCCTTCTGTATCTTGACCATTGTAATGTAACATCAAGCACAATTTGTTTTATATTTACACTATTTGGATGCACTTTTGTCCAATCACAGGTGAACAACTCTAACATCAGGTCTAAAAGAGGACCAAAATGTTTTGAGCTTTTTCACTTGTGATCTCTTCTAGGCGAAGTTGACAGCGCATTTGATTTGAATGCTTTATTAGTGTATTCACTCATGAGGTCAAATGTGTATAAAGAGCCACAAAAGACCTGCTGCCTTCTGGCCGAGCACATGATCTTTATGGGATGTTGGAGGAAAGCACTTTGCAAACAAAGACTGAGTCAGAAACCGCACACTCCTGAGTAGTTCTTACTTTCAATGACTACTTTGTTTCTGTTAAACATTAGGAGTTTCCAAACATTGTCCTGGAGGTCTGCTGCCCTATAGAATTCAGCCTTAGGTTGCCTCAACACATCTGTCTGGATGTTTGTAGTATGGCTAGTAAGAAATTGATTAGCTGGTTTAAATTGAAATTTGCTAAATTGTGCAAGACAGTGGCCCTTCAGGAGCAGGATTGGGCAGTCCTGATCTATATAGTATGATTGAAAGCAGATAGTAGGAAAGAATGTGACACAGCCACATGGATTAAGAGTGAAATTGTAGTTGGCACTCACTTTTAAGGTGAATTGCATGGGTTTGTTCGTTCATTAGTTCTTGTGTCATGCTGAGCTCCTGTGTAAGTGAAGGGGAAATAGTTTCATGAAATCTGAACTTGAAAGTGTCACTAAACAAGATATACAAGTGCATTTACAACTGTTGATCTTCAAATAATGTCTTCAAAAAACCTCTACATAATAATTGGGCAAGTTAAGTGAATGATCACATACAATGTACTATATGGACAATGTTATATATTTATGTATTTGACAGTTTTATCTTTAATAAATAAGTCACATACTCAAAGCATCTGGATTCTTCTCTTTTTTATGGGTTAACTTTAGCAATGAAACCTAAAACAAACTAGCATTATTAATAAAGCTGAAATTATCCAGTAAACTGGTGGTGAACTGGAAACTGAATGTGTTGGTCCTCTGGTGGTGAATTGGTGAAACTGCATATGTTGGTGACATCTGGTGGTGAATTGGTGAAACTGCACGTGTTGGCGGCATCTAGCGGTGAGTTGCTAAAACTGTATGTGTTGGACACGCTGAAAACTTTCCTCAAAATCCTCCCTGAGATTAGGAAGAACTTTTCAAAGGAAGATTGCTCCAGAATCAGGCAAGTAAACACCACTTAATTGGTGTTTGTGAAGTATGTGTGTTACTCTGACCAATAATTATTCGCAGACTAACCGGGTAGCTTAACTTGATGTTAGTCGACTGCGTTGGGATGTTCAATGCTTGCTTAGTCAGTCAAGCAATTGCATTCCGTAGCATAAAATAATTCCACGATATAACGTTATAAATAAATAAAACTTCCTTCATAGCTTGAGCTTTATAATTAATCTACGATTGTATACATGTAAAGTTAGTCGTGATGCCACGCTTGTGATGATAACAAGCTAACATTATTACATTTTCATCAACTTAGCACTCTGATGATGCAAATAAAACAGCATTTATATACTTACAGCTTATTATGTTACATGTTTTGCTCAACGTTTGAATTTTGAATGTTTGAATGTTATGGCGTTAATCGGTTGCCTTTGACCTCCATGGTATTTTCCCCTATTTTAAAAGTCAATGGTTACCAGATGCCGACATTTTTCGTAATATATTTGGTGTTTAATCATATTTAAATGTTTATAAATACTCGTGATAAAAAAAATGACCGAAATTTATTTTTATTCGAACTAACGTTATCTCTTTAAGATAACATTATTTATAATAGTGACACTGCCCTCTGCTGGTCACTCTCAGTTCTGACATTAAAAGTAAATTTCAGGTTTTAGATTTAAAAAGAGACGAAGAATGCACGGCTAGTGACTGTAGAGGAATTGCCCTGTATTTACGCGTGCGTTTGTATGTTAGGAAATACGTTTGCGTTTGTTTTGAAGCAGTTTGTTCTGTTTTCGCTTTAAAGCGTCATGTGTCCCAGCATGCACCGCGCGAGGATACACAATCGACTTTATTTCTGTAAAATAATTATATAAAACAATTATTTTGTAAGACATATTTACGCTGACGCGTTTCGTCTGATAGGCAGCCTTCGCAGCCGCCGTATTTATTAGAGAGAGAATGATAGTAATACACTTACCGTTGACGGGACTGGTGTGGTGTTTGATGGCTTGCTCTGGGTGAACTTACTGTCTTTAGCTTTGCGCAGTGGCAGTATCGTAGCCTATGAGGTTTATCCGAGGCGCGATTATTGCTAATTGAAAACTTTACCCAATACCCCGCCGTGACGACTTGAAATATAGTCGGCACTGGCAATTTTTGACGGTCTCGACAGAGACTGATATTATTGTTAAAAACAGATTGGTAGTGTCTCGTTGAACTCATATTATCATAGCATAATTTATAGAGATAGTATTTCTTAAGTAAAAATGTGAATTACTGTGATTTGATGAAGGCGAGCCGCGTTGCTGGCTATTTTTTTGTGCTTCAGAATGAATGTTTGGGTAGAACTGCTCCTTCCCTTTCTTCGTGATACCCAATGTAACCTCATGTTTGTGCTTCTTTTATTTTTCTTATTCGGAAATTTAAATAAGCTGATCTTTTTATTTTCCAAATTTCTCATATTCTGGTGGTAATAAATAGATGTTACACACACAAAAAAATGAATATACTGACGTTAGCTCACATCATCTTCTTCTGTTAAATAAATATTTATATTGGCAGCTTGCAAACTGTGTTCATTACCGCCATCTGGTGAACTGAGGTGAGATCTGTTGGGGATATACAGTATATACAGGTCTTGTACAATATAAAAAAAGATTCATTTATTCATTTTTGGCTTTATCCTTTTATTAATTAGGAGTAGCCATGGCGAAATGAACTGCAAATATTAAAAACGTTTGAAATTTATGTATTTGTCTTAATGTGTGCATGTTACATTTATTTATAGTTTTCCTTTATATTAACACAGTGCATGTATATATATATATATATATATATATATATATATATATATATATATATATATATATATATATATATATATATAAAACTCATCTCTAATAACTGATTTATTTTATCTTTGACATGATGTCAGTAAATAATATTCACTAGATATTTTTCAAGACACTTCTATACAGCTTAAAGTGACATTAAAATGCTTAACTAGGTTAATTAGGTTAACTAGTCAGGTTAGGGTGATTAGGAAAGTTATTGTATATCGATGGTTTGTTCTGTAAACTGTTGATAAAAAAATACAGCTTAAAGGGGCTAATAATTTTGACTTTAAAATGGGTTTTTAAAAATGTAAAACTGCTTTTATTCTAGCCGAAATAAAACAAATAGGACTTTCTCCAGAAGAAATAATAATAATATAGGAAATACTGTGAAAACTTCCTTGCTCTGTTAAACATCATTTGGGGAATATTTAAAAAAGAAAGAAAAAATAAATTCAAAGGTGGCAAATAATTCTGACTTCAACTGTATGTATATATATATATATATATATATATATATATATATATATATATATATATATATATATAGATGAATAGATGTAACTGTGATTATATATTTTTTTACTTTTGATGTGCGAAATGTAAAAATGTTTTTATTACAGTATACTTTTATATTTTAAACCGAGTTAAAACTGTTTGAGCAAAATGTGCCAAACAAATACACGTTAAAATAAATAATTTGAATTTAACTGCGAGTAAAAGTTTTGAAGCAGTTTGTTATTTGGTAACTCTTAGTTGAAAACGCCACATTTTTCAATGTCCTTTAAACTGTGTTATTGTTAATAAAGCACACATAATGCCAGTACACCGTCAACAATACAGCCTGTGTCTGATTGTAATTACTTATATCAATAAAATGAACAGTTTTATTGCTTTGACTGCAGATTGTTTATTTTAGAGTGTGATTTCCGGGTTGTACGGAAGTCCCGTAAACAACCATAATTGTGCGCAGTACCTTTTACACTCTAATTAAAAAAATGTTTAAACTCTGTTAATTGTTTACTATTCACTGTTTACATATACAAACTCGATTAAGCTCAGTCAAATGACCCGATTATACAATTGTTCACTATTGAACCGTCTAAGAGACGGATTAAAAATCCAGTGCGCGTGTTAGTTTAGTCACTACGGTTACGTTACAGGCGTGACAAACTTGAGACGTGGTCTATTGCCAGCTTTTATGGTTTATTTGAGAAGATAATTACATCAGAATGAAATAAACGCCCTGTAGTTCGAGTCTGAATAATTGGAGGAACCTTTTTTAATCAACCCAATCGTTCGCACTACGTGTGGAAATATTAATTGGCTGGAAACAGTAATGGACGCAGTAAATGAAAACGGTAAACGCGCTATGAAGGACGACAGTCATGGGAACAGTACCAGCCCAAAACGAAGAAAATCCAGACACATCTCTGCTCTTATTCTGGCCCGTGGAGGGAGTAAAGGAATCCCCCTGAAGAACATTAAGATGCTTGCAGGGGTTCCCCTGATCGGATGGGTGATCAGAGCGGCTGTGGACTCCAATGTCTTTAACAGGTCGTGCTGTGTGACGTCAGCATCCATATATATATCTGTATGGTTGCTTTTGAAATATTTGCAGTATTGTCTCTTATGCCTGCTTTTGCAGTGTTTGGGTGTCTACTGATCACGAAGAGATCGCCAAAGTGGCCTTGGCTTGGGGTGCAAAGGTGCACAAGAGGAGCCCAGAAGTGTCCCAGGACTCCTCCAGCTCACTGGACACCATTCGGGAGTTCAGCAGACAGCACCGAGGTTGTAAATCTTTTGCAGTCAAATTCCATTGCTAATTCTCTATAGGGGTGTATCTACAGCTTGTGAAACTTGTGCGTCCTCTGCTTGCTTGTTGGTTGAACAAACAGACCAACCGGATCTGAGCCACATAAACGAGGTTAAAGTTGTGCCATTCTTTGCATTGCACATCAGGATGCAGTGGCTATTATATGCCTTATGAGGACGAAAATCAAAACAACGTGCATTTTCCCAATTCTGATGAATAATTTTAAAGAGTAATTATAATAATATTTACAACTGCAGTTTTTTTTTTGCATTGAAAGTTCAATGCATTTGGAAAGAAATATTGTTTTAAGTATGCTTGTGTGTAATTCTCTAAACAACGTGCAAACGGATCATCAAGTGTCACGTTTTGCTAAATAAAATGTCTAAAAGTCTATTTGAATGACTACTCTGTTGTTTGTTTTTGATTATAAAGGATGTAATAGATACTTTATTGGATATGTCTCCAAAAATAAAAAAGCTGGTGTTAAATTGCTTACCCTCAAGCCAAACAAGATGTAGTTGACTTTTCCCCCGTTCAGTAGAACATTGACGTAGTTTATTTTGTCTGAAATCGTTGTCCTTGCTGATAGAATGCAATTCACAGGCTACAAGCAGGCTGTAAGTAAAAAAACAACAATATTTATATATACACAGACAAAACAAATGTAATATCTGTGGCTCCTAGTGATGCACTGACATATATATTCTGTTTTCTAAAGTACAACACTGTGGGTCACCTCTAACTTTTAGCAGAGTTAATAAAAATGTAATAAATAGCAGATGGCTAACAGTGAAACATAAGCATGGCAGTGGGGTTGACTTTAATCTAATGTTGTTTTACAGAGGTGGATGTTATCTGTAACATCCAGGCCACGTCTCCGTGTTTGCACCCAAAACATCTCACAGAGGCTGTGGAACTCATAACGAAACAAGGGTACGATTCAGTCTTCTCTGTGGTCCGCAGGCACAATTTTCGATGGAAAGAGGTTGAGAAAGGAGGTTAGTTTAAGTGCTGTAACATAAATGTCTATTGTAAGATCATTAGAAGGCTTAAAGTTAGTTTTCTGTCATTAATCTTGTTAAAAAACAAATGATTTAACATGAATGCATTAAATTGGTCTAAAGTGGCAGTAAAACAATATTACAAAATTATTAAATGTCTATAACCATTCTTGAACACCCAAAACTGCTATTTTCAGGAGATTGCAGCACTGAACCGATGAACCTGAACCCAGCTTGCAGGCCGCGGCGTCAGGACTGGAGTGGAGAACTGTGTGAAAATGGCTCTTTTTACTTCGCAAAGAAAGAGCTCATAGAACAAGGGCTTCTTCAGGTAATATTTTGGGCTTTATAATCCGCAAAGTGACCATTTCACTGAAGTTCAAAATGTGTGGATGTCAGAAGCCTTAGGACAGAAAATGTGATGTTGTTGCACTGCTTTTTAACAGGGTGGAAAGAAAACATACTATGAAATGAAGCCTGAGTACAGCGTGGATATTGATGTGGACATAGACTGGCCTGTTGCTGAGCAAAGAGTTCTGAGGTGAACTTTATGCATGCTTTACTACAATTAGGGCTGGGCGATAAATTGTTTTTAACTAAAGTGTGGAGTTTACATTGATTTGTTTGAACGAAAATCAGTTTTCACCCTAACATGTTGCGCTCTTTAAAATGAAAAAGAACAATGATGCACAAACACACTTGCTAAAAAAATGATATAATCCAGGGTTTTAAATCGTGCACTCGCTGTTAGACACGCATTTGAAACTGTGCGCCACTCCTTGTGTTTCTCACAGTAAGAAGTAATGGAGAAGATGCGCATATTATCATTTAATAACAGCTTTTTTTTAGTATTTTTTTATATTCTATAATTATAATAAGGTCATATAGGTAATATAGGTTTATAACTTTCAACTCCAAGCCTTTTTTTTTTTTTTTTTTTTTTTTGTAGGGGGGAAAAGATTTGATTAAATCTTAAATGGATTTTATTTTTGTACGTGTGAAAATGCCATAACGCCCGGCCCTAACTACAACTGTAAGCAAATGTATACATGTTAAATGTAGCTGAGCTGTTGTCTTTCCCTCTTTTTTTTGTCACTGTCCAGAATACATATACAAACATTCATAAATAATGACACATTTTTTTTGAGTCTTGTTTTCACACTTAAAATAAGCCAAGGACTTTATAAAGTAGTTCTAGTAGATCTAGTTGTTTTTCTAGTTTTTATGCAGAAACAAACTTAATTCTGATTTCGATTTTGTTCTCTAGACTGTTTTGGTCCCGTTTGCTCAGTTTTCTTTTCTTCCAACATTAAATACTGGTGTAAAATGACTCCCAATTCTTTTCAACCTCCTCCATAGGTAGTCAAAATCTACTCGGATTAGGATTGCTTTAATAGTGTAGACTCTCATGTGGTCAAATTTGTTCAACTAGACACGACCGGCTATTCTCCACCGACTAACCTAGTTCTTAAACATTATGGGACTTGTTTTTGAAGCACTCTAACCTGATGGTTTTTGAACTTTGTCTTCTCAAATTGTAGTTTTTGATTCGAAGGTGAAAAACAAAAAATGTAAAAGCGCTATTTGTTTCCTTGCAGTCCTGATTCAAACACAAACCCACAGCATTCAGCAACTTTTACAGCTACCAGGTAGAAAACAAAAGCAGTTTGTCTCTGTATTGTTTAGAGTCATCTTCTTTTGAATTAAAGTGGCTTAAATTATAGCAAGCTAAGGATGTTATGTCTGGTAAGTCAAGACCCAGCAGACTTATCCACTTCTCACACTTATCTACCTCTCACAGAACATTTCCTACATCTAGGGGAAATAAGTTAGATAAGGTCATGTCATCATGACCCTTCAGATACAATTTAGGCAATTTAACAAGTATGTAGTTTTGCCACTTTCTAGCAGACAGTAAAACACTCTTGGGAAGAAAATATTTGGGTAACTAAGTATTAGGTATGTAAGTATTAGTAGACAGTCTGCTTAATATCTTTTGATACTGCTGCTAAACAGATATCTAACTGACTATAAGAAACTTTGCATGTACAAGTCAACTTGCACTAACCCTAACCAAAACCAAACAGTCTACTTATAATCTAATGAGAATTGGTTGGCATGTAGATGCAATATAACTTAAATTCAACAAACGGACCATCAAAATAAAGTGTGACCACATTTGTACTACTAACAATATAATTCTAAGAACAAACAGATATTCTCAAAGTCGATCTGCAGAAAGCATAATATCATTGCGTAACCTCAAGAAAAAATGAGGAAAAGTGATAGTGCATGACTATTCCGATTATATACACAAAAAAGGTGTTTGTTGTTTGTTCAAAGTATTTATTTAAAATGAGCTGAAACAACACAATTTCTTTTTTTAACATAACATTATGTTTAATCTACTTAAATTTGTAAAAACTAAGCCAACTTAATTCCTTTATGTCAGTCCAACACAAATCGATTGTGTGGAACCCGGCATCTTTTTTTTTTTTGCCATGAGAAGAAAAATATAAACTTTTAATAAATGATAAATGATAGAATACCAGGACAATATGAAACATAATATTGATAAAATAATTCAAACCATTTTCCCAGATACACAGACATGCAAGTTTTGAGAGGTTATTTAACAATTTTAATAAAATAATTATAAAACTGGATAATAATAAAATCGAGAAACTAGTAAATAGACATATACAGTTGAAGTCAGAATAATTAGCCACCATTAGATTTTTTTTTTCTTTTTTTAAATATTTCCCTAATGATGTTTAACAGAGCAAGGACATTTTCACAGTATGCCTGATAATATTTTTTCTTCTGGATAAAGCCTTATTCGTTTTATTTCGGCTAGAATAAAAGCAGATTTAGTTTTTTTTATTAACCATTTTAAGGACAAAATTATTAGCCCCTTTAAGCTAAATTTTTTATCGATAGTTTACAGAACAAAACATTGTTATGCAATAACTTGCCTAATTAACCTAGTTAAGCCTTTAAATGTCACTTTAAGCTGTATAAAAGTGTCTTAAAAATATCTACTAAAATATTATTTACTGTCATCATGGCAAAGATAAAATAAATCAGTTATTAGAAATGAGTTATTAAAACTATTAGAAATGTGTTGAAATTTGTTTTCTCCGTTAAACTGAAATTGAGGGAAAAAAATAAAAAGGGGGGCTAATATTTCAAGGGGGCTAATATTTCTGACTTCAACTGTATGCACCAATCCATAGACTTAATCTGGAAAGTGGATGAAAGAGATCCGAGGTGTAAACACTTATGTCTTTCTCATCTACTTTTGATCCAGTCAACCAGAATGCATTTTAATATCAGGGCTTTACATAATGTATTGATAGAGAAGACAAAAATACTAAGGTGAGATATTTGATTTTGCCGTGAAGTAAGTCATTTCTGATAAATAGCCTGCGTTTCAAGTTCCAGGGTAACTTTATGTTGGCAAACAACCACAATGCAAAGAGTGCAAAGTCCAAATGAAAGTGTATGTCTGGGTGTGTCTATATATATTATAGGTTTGGATACTTCGGGAAGGACAAACCTGAAGTTGTTTTATAAAATTATACATCATTTAAAAAAATTATTGTTTTATAAAATTGCACACAAGGCATTATTTAATGAAAATCAGTAACTTGCATATATTTCTTGCACAAAAATCAGAACATTGGATGGAGTCGTATTGGTTTTGCATACTTGCATACATAAAATGCTGAGATTTTGAGAAATTATTTCATAGTTGCCAGAAAACGATCAAATAAAATGTTAAATGATTCAAATATTGCATTATGTATGTGTCAATATGTTACAGGTTTGGATACTTTGGGAAGGACAAACCTGAAGTTGTGAGGCTCTTGCTGTGTAACGTGTCTGGATGTCTGACAGACGGTCAGATCTACACCTCAGCGAGTGGAGAGGAGATGGTGTCCATCAACATCAGAGACCAGATCGGCATCAGCATGCTTAAGAAAGAAGGAGTGAAGGTTACCAACCCCCGACCTGCACCATCCCCCCTAACCACATACACACAAACAAACAATGCCTTATACATTTACCCCTTTGTATCCCATCATGCAACTGGGAACCCTCTTATCTTTGTGTTTCAATTAAGCAAAAGGTTGATTTTAAAATGCACAACTTGAATTACCTTTTTAAAAATTGCAGCTCTGTATCAGTGCAAGTCTAGTGTTGTGAAGTTTAGTGAGTTTTGCTGATCTCACCATTGATGATCACATTGGTTTAGACACTGCAGTGTTCAGACTTGTCTTCAAACAGGTTATCCTTGCGCAGTGGCAGTATCGTAGCCCATGAGGTTTATCCGAGGCGCGATTATTGCTGGTTGAAAACTTTACCCAATACCCCGCCGTGACGACTTGAAATATAGTCGGCTCTGGCAATTTTTGACGGTCTCAAAAGAGACTGATCTGTTTGTAAAAGAGAGAAGTGTTGACGGTTAACAGTTGTGGTGGGCAAAACGAGACTTAGTGAAGCTTATTTATAGAGGATAGAGAATCACATGATTTTGATTGAACACAGCTGGTTCTTCATTAGTTATGTATGAGCCACCAATCAGGTTCCTCCTCACCCACTATAAAGAGCCAGGGTTTCTCAATACTACCCCCCTTCCACCCCTACCTCTCCACTTTTCCCTTCATAGGGTGGCACGGTGGCCCAGTGGTTATCACTGTTGCCTCACAGCAAGAACGTCACCGGTTCTAGTCTTCTAACAGGCCGGCTGTCACTTCTGTGCATGTTTGCATGTTCTTCCCGTGCTTGCGTGGGTTTTCCCCGGGTTCTCCGGTTTCCTCCCACATTCCAAAAACATGCACTACAAGTCAATTGATCGATCTAAATTTAGCACTACAGTCAAACTCTCATCCTGCAGCATATCTCCTCATAGCGTTCATTTTAATCATCAGCTCTTTTCAAAGGGGGGAGTTGTCGAGATCTACCTGAGCTCAAAGCTCCCCTCTCGCCCTGCAAACGGGAGGGAGCCCAGGGCTCAAGTACCTTTTGGGCTCAGGGCTCTCTCCCAGAACAGCATGCCAAACTTGCTTATAATCAATCATCAGCTAAGCGTGAACTCTTTAAATGAAACAGTGAAAGGCAAATGTGTCAAAGCTTCAAAACGTTTCAAAACCCCACTCTAGTTATGATTATGACAAGCATTAAATCTTTATCTTTCATAGCGAACACAGAGAGTTGTGCATGAAATTAAATGCTTAACAGTGTCAGTATACCTACTCTACCCTATATAATGTTGAATTTAATGGAAGAGGCAATCTCAAATGACAAATGTCTGATTTTACCAGTGAATAAATGGTCTAATAATGTTGTCAATGGCAAATTGCTAGCATATGTCTCAAACGTAATAATTAACCTTCAGAATTATGTATTCTGATGTCATCCCTTTACTGTGCATTAATGACCAGGACAACTTTAAAGTCTGTTCAAGTCCACCATTCAAATGTTTATTAACAAAAAAAAATCTTATTATTTAAATGTATACCTCTTTTTTTCCCCTCCCCCTAATCTCCTAAAGGTGATTTTACTTGAAACATACCCCATAGCAAAAGCATTAGCTGTCAGACTGTCTGAGAGGATGGGCTGTCCTCTCCTGCACCACATGGACGACAAACTGAAGGAGGTGGAGAGAATCATGGTGGAGGAAAAGCTGGAGTGGAAAGAGGTGGCGTATTTAGGTGAGTACAGAGCTCCCCGTTAATTCCATTACATCAGCCCAATCCACACATCAATAACGTCATGATAAACAAACATTAAATACAAATACTCAAACACATTACTTACAATTGTGACTATCGTTAGAACGAAAAGGGGTATTCACCTAAAAATGAAAACGTGCTTGTAATTTACTCACCCTCATCTTATCCAAGATGACAAGGTAACTTGTTTTCTTCAGTGGAGCATTACATAAGATTTTTATCCCAAATTGGGATCTGATACTGGCATTTTTGAGTCAAAAAAACATGTACAGGCAAAATAAAATGAACCCCACTTGCTCCTGATGATGCATATTATGAAGTGATTGGAGTGTGCAAACATTACTTTTATTTTACTCACTGTATATGTGTTTTTGACCAGACATTTTTATAAATAAGTAAACAACTATAACAGCAATTGTAAATAATAATGACATCAAATTTTTCATTTTTGAGTTGAACCATCCTTTTAAACAGTGCTGTATCTTCAAGCCAAGACACTGTAGCCGTGTCAAAGCTAGTTCTTTGAGAGCCGGAGCTCTGCACAGTTTAGTTCCAACCCTAATTAAACACACCTGATCAAACTAATTGAGTCAGTCAGGCTTGTTTGAAACCTACAGGTAATTCTGCGCTCACACTAGAGTTTGAGCATGCGAAATTCTGTAGTACGGCGCTGCAAAAAGGGGCGGGATTAAACATTAAAAAAAGCAAGCGATTGCTCCATATTTTAAATTTCTGTCCAGAGAGGTCATGTTTTGATCCTCGATTGGTCTCACGCTGTCAAGTGATGCGATTTCGCTGGTCAGAGTTCACCAAGCTTTAACTTTGCAATGCAGCGAACTGCAAAACCAGTCACACAAGCTTGCGTTTCCGGGATGATGCATTCATGTGCGTATGAATGGAAGTCTGTAGGGAGAAAAGTCCAGTGTGACCGCAGCTTAAGTGTGTTGAAGTAGGGTTGGAACTAAAATGTTCAGGGCTGCGGCCCTCCAGGATCTGGCTTTGAAACCTGTGCTGTAGGTGAGCTATCAGCATAATTCCCAGGTGATTTAGGATTGAAAATATTGTAATGTTCTTAAATAATATTTTGGATTTAAAAGAAATTATACAAATGCGGCATTATTCAATAGAACTAACTAATTTGCATACATTTCTAGCACACAAATCTAAACATTGAAGGGGTATTTTCATATCTGACACATTAGAGTGCTGAGATTTTGAGAAATTTTGTAATAGTTCAGAAGATATTGCATAAAGCCAGAAAACAATCTAATAAAATGTTAAATGATTAAAATATTGTACTATCAGCTAAATGATGTACAAACAAATCCCTCTTTAAATTGGTTTTGATTTTATGTAAGTGCTGCTAAAGTGGAGATTTATGAGAAAAAACAGGTAAAAATGTTTTATAACCGTGCTGACATATAGCACCATGGCGCTCACGGTGACCCAAGTTCGATTCCTAGCTCAAGGACCTTTGCCGATCCATCCCCTCTCTCTGCTCTCAATACTTTCCTGTCTGTAACCTCCACTGTCCTTTCAATGAAAAGTGAAAAAACCCTATAAACAATATAAAAAATAATTTTTTTTTATTAAATTTCTTATAACCAAAATCTATTGACACAAGTTGTTAGTGCAATAAAATAAATAATTATTTTGATTTGGTTAACAACACTTTACAAAAAGCCCAACATCTCAATTTACATGAACAAAACATGAACATGAACTGGTTTAACCTAGTGTTTTACCCTAAAGTGGACATCAGTTAAAAACATTTCCCTCACTTTGTCTCCTGAATTGTGTCTTATCAGGGAATGATGAAGCAGATGTGAAGTGTCTGGAATTGGCAGGGTTGAGTGGAGTACCTGTGGACGCCCCGACGGTGGCGCTCAACCACACTAAATATACCTGCCACAACGCAGCGGGTCACGGGGCAGTGCGCGAGTTTGCCGAACACATCCTTCTCCTGAAGAAGAAGGCCAAGTCTCAGATGGAGCAGGACAGAATCTGCAGAGATGCATTTTAAAATTGTACCATGAAGGAATTTAAACATGGCTAAAGTGAAACGATACTGCATTTATGGAAAAACACTAATATTACACCACTACAGCCTATAGTAGTCTCCAATGTCTGTGCATGTTTAACAGAAGGAAGTACTAATAAAATTAAATACAAATGTGTTGTTGTTTTTGGTGTCCACATCTAATAAAATGAAAAAAGCTTATCAAATGCTAGTAAAAGTGCTTTTACTCAGATTACTTTGAAGAAAACAAGAAGTCAAAATATGGATGGAAAAAAGCCATCATTCAGAGTAAAACTATAATAAATAGAGAAGAATAAATGAAAAGAAACTGTGAACTCTGCCGGCGAATGGGTAAAAAGGATTCAATTAATTAAAAGCATTAAAATGAGGAAGATTTATAAAATAAATACGAGTGGATATCTTCTGTAAATCAAGAGAAATAAATATTTATTTGTTTACTAATTTAAAATGACAATTTTTGCTCATAAAATAACAACAAGACGTTCTATTTTATTGGGAAAAAATAAACGCTGCATTACCTTTTTGATAGCTTGAATACTTTAGTTTCTCCAATATATACACTAGAGGGCAGCTTTGTGCAAACAAAAAACTCAGATATCCACCTTGTGGTGAGCTGCTAAGGATACTGTCAGTAAAGAAGGATTTCTTAAGAGTCTCCAAGAGATCATTCACCCAAATATAAGTAGCCATAGTATTGGGGTAATGCATTACAAGTAATTTGAGTTACTTAATAATTTTCTAAATTTACTTTTCTAAGTAACGAGTAAAGTAAGGCATTACTTAAGTAATTATATTTGAGAGCCTTTTTCTTTTAAATTATTCTTTATATTTTTGTGTTTTTTTTAAAGGTAATAATGGTGTAGGTTATACGGTGCATTGTTAATTCTATTAAAAAAATAAAAAACTAAGAAAAAAGCTCTGAAAGAGATCAAGCCTCAGGAAAGGTAAGAAAACGTATAATGTAAAGCATCACTTACCGTGATTCAAGAGTTTACACTTAGCTGATGATCAATAAAGCGCAATTGGCATGCTGTCCCGAGAGAGAGCCCTGAGCTCATAATATCCTCGAGCCCAGGGCTACCCTCCATTTAGAAGGGGAGTTCGAGCTCAGGTAGGTCTTGGGGGGGCTTTAGGACGAAGATAACTGAAGTGAAAAACTGGTTACTTATAATGCTTCTGTAATCGTCTAATAGGGCAGATTACAGAGCTAATGAGGTGCCAGCCATGTTGGTCATAAGCACGTAATTCTCTCAAAATTAGTTTAAATAAATCACACAAAGTAACTAAGTAGTGCAAGTAGTTACTTTTTGGGGGGAGTAGCTCAATATAGTAATGCATCACTTACTCTCAAAAGTAACTTTTCCCAACACTCGACATAGACTTACATAGTATTTTAACACATTTTACATTTTGGATGCGCTACACCTTTAAACAAAACTAAATATAGTTTTTGCACATGAAAATGCAACTCCAAAACCAATTTCTTTGGAGTCAGCCACCAAATTTGTACTTTTATTGATTAGACAAATAGCAGTGCGACGCATTGTGCATTTCTTTGTCCTCTTAATTTTCTTTGGCAGCACAACGTGACCTTTAGTCTCGTCTCTGATGCTGAATGCCGATCACCGGGGCAAAGAGGGTCACCCAAAACTTACTGAAGGTGGTATTTCCTGTCGCCAATTAACACTCAATAGGTTTGCTAATTTATGATTCCTCTTAATCTATGCACCCTTGGAGAGAGGGCAAACCCAATTAACTCTCGCTCGTCACATTATCATTGCGCACATGTCATTGCTGTAATACCAGCCGAATACAAGTCAGCCAGTAAAGCCAACTTACCTCAACTTAAATGCCAAAGAGAGTAGGAAGTGAGAAGATACATTCCCCTGGAAATTGAAATGAGTAATCCATAAATCTGAGTAATCCATCCATTCTGTGATGAAGTTGGATTATCGCGTTGATCTTATTTGAGCTCGTCTTACAGGCACCTCTGTTGGCTTTAACTATCTAAAGCTGGAAAAGATTAGAGAATTGTTCGAATTTGTTGATTTTTTTGCATTAATATTACTTTTCTTTAAAAGGATACCCCCATAGCAAAATTTCTCTGGGCCAGATCTGGCTCACACCAACAGCATTTGCTTGGCCCACATGCCGCAGTGAATTACGGTACATGACTGGACCAAGTCTGGCTTCCATACAAGAGGCAAACATGGACCATATCTGGGCCAAGTCTCAGCCAAGTTAATAACCCATAACTGGGCCTGAACTGAGCCAGATGTGTGTGTCACGACTGCAATGTTTTTTATAAACCGTGAAGCATTTTGCTTTATGGCTGTGCTCTTTCTTGAAGCGACCTGATTGATAGAATTTTTTTTCTTTACTCCATGTCTGAGCCAAATCCTACATTTGATATCTGGCCCCAGTATTGTGTGCTGCCTGTAAGACGGCGCCACCTCAGCCAAACCTGGGCCATATTTGGCCCGCATGCTGCATGCCAGAGCCGGACAAATGCCTGCTCTGCCAGCTTTTTGCCAAAACTTAATTTTTTTTTTTACCTGGATAGTTACCCCATAGTTAAAAAGAAGATATTTTGAAGAATTCTGGTTGATGGCACTCACTGACTCCCATATAGGGGAGAAAAAATAGCAAATTTCCTAGGATAGTCAATGGGTGCAAGCTACCACTATTCTTCAGTATTATCATCTCTTGCATTCAACAGAGGAACAACTCAAATAGGTTGAATAAGGATCACACTCCTCTGCCTCCCTGGAAATGTCTATGCCAGGGTATGAGAGGAGGATCTAGCCGATGGTTGAATCTCGGATCCAGGAGGAACAATGTGGATTTCGTCCAGGCTGTGGAACATTGGACCATACTCTCATCCTCAGGGTCCATGGGATTAAGTCCACATGTGTTTTGAGGACTTGGAGAAGGCAACCCATCATGTCTCTCATAGCATTCTGTGTAGGGATGCTCTGAGAGTATAGGATTGAGGCCATAGGTCTCAAACTTGATTCCAGCAGAAACTTTCTGCAGTTTTGCTCTGCAGCTGATCCAACTAATCAAGGTGTTCAAGACTACTAGAGACTATCAAGCAGGTGCGAGTTGGAGGTGGTTGGAGCTAAACTATGCAGAGCTGCGGCCCTCCAGGAACTGACTTTTAGACCATTGGCCAGGGGCTGCTCCTGGAGAGCTATAGATTTCAGTTGTAACCCATGTCAAACACACCTGCCTGTAAATATCAAGTGCTGTTCAGGTACAATTGAATTGGTTCAGGTGTGTTTGATTAGGGTTGGGGCTGAATTTTGCAGGAAGGTAGATCTCCAGGAACAGGGTTGAGCTGCCCTGATCTGGGCACTCTTTTAAGGGCTGTCTGGTCCCTCTTTGAACAAAGCAAGAGTTGCATTGTCGGCAATAGAATCCTGGTGCATGTTGGACTCTGGCAGGGCTGCCTTTTGTCACTAGTTCTGTTCATTATTTTTATAGACAGAATTTCTAGAAGCAGCCTAGGGCCAGAGGAGGTCTGGTTTGGGGACACAGGATTTAATCTCTGCTATGTGCAGATGATGAGGCTTTATTGTACATGGACCTTCAGCATGAACTGGGCTGGTTTGCTGCCGAGTGCGACACGGTAGGGATGAGAATCACCACCTCCAAGTCCGAGGCCATGGTACTCCAACGGAAAAAGATAGCTTGCTATCTCCAGGTTCGTGGAGAGTCCTTGCCCCAAGTGGAGGAGTTCAAGTTCATCTTTATTTACGAGTGAGGGAAGGGGGGAACGTGAGAATGACAGGTGGATCGGTGCAGCGGCAGGAATGCCGTCGGATGTACTAGCCCTGTTTTGGTGAAGGAGCTGAGGCAGAGCTCTTGAATTATTGGTCAATCTACATTCCTGCTCTCACCTATGCTCATGTGCTTTGGGTCATGACCAAAAGGACAAGATCTTAGATACAAGCAGTCAAAATTAGGGTGATAGAGTGAGGAGCTTTGTCATATGGAAGGAGCTCGAAGTAGAGTTCGCATATCTGTTTCAGATGCCTTTTGGACGCCTACCTAGGTAGGTATTCTAGGCATGTGCCACCGAGAGGAGGACCTGGGGGAAAAAAAAGGACATGCAGGAGGGATCAAGTCTCTCGGCTGCCTAGGAACACCTCAGGATCCCTCTGGAGCTGGAGGAAGTGTCTGGAGAGAGGGAGGTCTGGGGTACTCTCCTGAGACTGCTGCCCCCACAACCCGGCCCCGGATAAGCAGCAGATTATGATGATGAAGAGGTTTTGAACAAACGAAGGGTAAAAAAAAATAATGACAATTGGAATTGTTGTGTGAACAATCCCTTTAAGGTATTGGTGTTTTACATAAAGTGAGTTATTTTACACACTTCAAAACGAGTAAACAATATGATGCTTTTTTGATCAGACACAAAAAGAAATGTAAAATTGAATTGTACAAATAAATATGCAGATGTATATACTGCATTGATGTTTTTGTTTCAAGAAAATATTTTTGGGTTTTAAATTCTCCTAAAACCAGTACATTTTAGAGAATAAATGTAAAAGATATGACTCCCTAGATTACGCCATGATTGATTTACTGCATTGCATATATTATGTATTATTTCAAGAGTTCACACTTAGCTGATGATTTACAAAGCTTATTTGGCATACTGTCCCGGGAGAGAGCCCCGAGCTCAAGGGCTCCTCGAGCCCGGGGCTTCCTCCCGTTGGCAGAGCAAGAGGGGAGCCCGAGCTCGGTGGATCTCAGAACTCCCCTGCCGCTGTAGCTAAGGGAACGTAAGGGATTAGACAAGCTTGATTGTTATGTATGTTGAATGTCTTTGGATGGTGGGAGGAAACCGGAGAACCCGGGGAAAACCCACGCGGACACGGGGAGGACATACAAACTCCTCACAGAAACACCCACCGGTCCTATGGAACTAGGGCCGGCAGTATTCTTGCTGTGTGGCTCGCAGTGCTAACCACTGGACTGCCGTGCCGCCCAATCACAGGTAAAGGAGGAGAATAGGGGAGGAGGGGGGTTTCTTCCAAACGAAGATAAAGTGAACTGAAAACTGAGGCTATTTATAGTAGCTTAGGGCTCATATGATTGGAAGATTAGTGATTAGCAAATGC